TGGGGGCGTCAGGGATCTCAGGGCCAGAATCTGAGGTAGGTGGGGCCCAGGAGACAGAGGTGGGGGTGTCAGGGATCTCAGGGCCAGAGGCTGGAATGGCAGAGGCCGGAGTACTGATGACCCAACAGACAGAAATTATAGTTCTAGAGGCTCAGGAGGAAGAGGTTCAGTCTTTAGGGGGCCAGGAAGCAGAGACTGGAGTTGGGAGAGCTCTCAACTCTGGGGCCTTAAAGACCCCAGTTACTCAGCCAAGAGTTGTAGGATCCCAGGAAACAAAAGCAGAGATTTCAGGACTACAAGGGTCAGAGACTGAAGTTCTCAGAGTCCAGGAGGCAGAGGCTGGGATTTGGGGGATGTCAGAGGCCAAATCGGGGACTAGGGGGGCCCAGGAGGCAGAGATGAAGGTTTTAGAGCCTCCAGAGAATAAATCTGGTATTTTTGAGGCCCAGGAAGCAGAGGCTGGGGTCGTAGGAAACCAGAAGGGGAAAGAAGCTGAGGGAAGCCTCGCAGAGGCCAGCCTGACTGAAGCACAGGTGGCCAGTGGGGCAGGGGCTGGGGTGCCCAGGGCCTCTTCCCCAGAGAAGGCTGAAGAGGACAGGAGGCTGCCGGGCAGCCAGGTAGGGATGGGGGCCGCTGAGGGCCCAGTCTGTTACTTCCCACTAATCTGGGGCTGAGCGAACGGCGGCTCTGCATGAACCCACCTGGTGGGCTGGGATTGGGTGTGGTGGGGGGCTCGGCTTGAAGGAGCCCCCTCATCTCCTCCTCTCTCAGGATGCCCTGGCTCTCCTACCCCATCTTCCCTGGGCCGCATGGAGCTGGATACCTCTAAGCTGGTTTTCTGGGCTGACCTTGAGGTGTGGCTACTGGTGACCTCTGATCTTGTCTGGGGGCCACTGACCTTTTAGGTGACTTTGGCAGATAACCCTGGATCTGGAAACCCTTTTGTCTGGCCCCAAGGCTTTGGCCAGTGGCTCTGGTGACCCGTGCAAGCTCACAGATAGGGCTGTTTTGTGCCAGGCATGAGCCTCCCCAAGGGGCAGAGGGCACGGACCCATTTATACATTCCCTAAGCCCCCCACTGTGTCCCCAGGTACCGCCTACCCTGGTCAGCTCCAGCCACTCCCTGCTGGAGTGGTGCCAGGAAGTGACCGCTGGCTATCGTGGGGTCCGCATCACCAACTTCACCACATCCTGGCGAAACGGATTGGCCTTCTGTGCCATCCTGCACCGATTCTACCCAGACAAGATGTGAGCTGCCAGAGGGTGGGAACGAATGGGGGAGCCATCAGGGAGGGCAGCGTGGACCCAGCCTCTGACCAGTGCTCTCTCTGCAGTGACTATGCCTCCCTAGACCCACTCAACATCAAGCAGAACAACAAGCAGGTGAGATGGGGTGGGGGGCCTGCCTGGAGGGAAGGAGGGTCTAGAGAGCCAGGCTTTCAGCCTCAGATTTGGAGAAGGTGAGCTGCGGGTCCCCAGCTGTGGCTTCTAGAAATTTGCCATTTTTTACCTTTTTGGTCATTAAATTGTTTGCTTTCCTGAGCTTCGTTTGTTTGTTTTAAAGCGTTTTATCTCCCTTAGATGGTTTTTCCAAAACCACCCTTTGGTAACTGGGTGGACGGCGTGCAGTTGCTAAGCAACACGAGGGCGGGCCGTGTTGCTGGATTTCCCTCGCTAGGAGGGGGCGGTGTTGCTCGGGGAAGTCCGGCGAGCCAGTGCCTAGGACCCCCTCCGCGGGGTGGCACCGCAGTGTTGCCGGGTGCCGCAGGCCACCGCCGCCGCTGACCCCGAGCGCACCCTTCCCCCAGGCCTTCGATGGCTTCGCGGCCCTGGGCGTGTCGCGGCTGCTGGAGCCCGCGGACATGGTGCTGCTGTCGGTGCCCGACAAGCTGATCGTCATGACGTACCTGTGCCAGATCCGCGCCTTCTGCACCGGGCAGGAGCTGCAGCTGGTGCAGCTGGAGGGTGGCGGCGGTGCCGGCACGTACCGCGTGGGCAGCGCCCAGCCCAGCCCGCCTGAAGATCTGGACGCCGGAGACCTGGCGCAGCGGCTGCGCGAGCACGGGGTCGAGGCGCCCCAGGAGCCCAAGGAGGCCGCTGACCGCGCGGACGGGGCGGCCCCGGGGGCGGCCTCCAGGAACGCGGATGCGGGCCGCGCCCCCAAGGACGGTGGGGCTGAGGCCGCCCGAGAGGCGCGACCCACGGAGGTCCCGGCAGAGGTGTTGGTGAACGGGGCAGGGGCGCCGGGCGGTGGCGGCGTGAGGCTGCGACGGTCCTCGGTCAACGGGGAGGCCGGGCCTGTGCCTCCGCCCCGCGCGCACGGCTCCTTCTCCCACGTGCGGGATGCAGACCTGCTCAAGAAGAGGCGCTCGCGGCTGCGGAACAGCAGCTCCTTTTCGGTGGACGATCCGGATGGGGGAGCCTCGGGAGCCGCAGGAGCTTCGGGAGCTGTGGCTGCAGTGAGTGTCCGGGCTCCTCCTGTCCTCCCCCGCCATAGTGCGGGGCCCCAGGAAGTCGGGCAGAGAATGGGCGGGTCCCCAAGGACAGAGCTGGGGTGGGGGTGACGGTTTCAGAGCCTGGGGGTGCTCCGCTCGACCGGGGAGGGGCTTTCTGATCAAAGGGACCCTAGTGCTGTGGACGAGTCCTCTGGTGTGGTGGTGAGCTCCCAGTTAGGGGATGCACTGGAGCCAAGACCCGCCAGGCAGGGTCCCAGGCTTTGCTGTCAGCCTGGGATAAGTGCTGGAGTTTTTAGTGCTTGGCACTTGGTATGGGGAACCACAGGCTGCAGTAGGAGGTTCCCAGAGGATCCACGTTCCTGGCACTCACCTCAGTGCTTGGTGGGCTGGAAGGTGGGTTTGGGCATTTCTTTCCCTGCAGGTGGCTCATTGTTTACCAGCAGCCACCTTGTCCCATAAGCTGGGTACACACTGTCTGTACTCAAGGTGGACTCTCCAGGATTTGGGCATGCTTTCTCTCTCTCTTTTTTTTTTTTTTTTTTTTGAGATGGAGTCTTGCTCTGTCATCCAGGCTGGAGGGCAATGGCATGATCTCTGCTCACTACAGCCTCTGCCTGCCAGGTTCAAGTGATTCTCCTGCCTCAGCTTCCCAAGTAGCTGGAATTACAGGCACCCACCACTGCACCAGGCTAATTTTTGTATTTGTAGTAGAAATGGGGTTTCACCATCTTGGCCAGGCTGGTCTCAAACTCCTGACCTCGTGATCCACCCATTGGGCATGCATCTTTAACCCCAGATGCTGGAGACCAGTATCTTCTTTTCTTATAATGGAAAGTTGGAGATGGGAGATCCTGAGGGCCCGTGCCCCTGCTGTCATCCCCTGTGGGTCGCAGGTAATCTCCCAGAGTGTCATGTCACTCTGCTGAAGGGGACATGGTCCCCGAAAGAGCAGGAATTTGCTCAGGGACCCACAGCAGCCAGATTCCAGGACACAGACTTTCCAGCTGGGGTCCCACCACTGCCCATCCTGCCTGCCTACCAAGGGACAGCTCTGCCAGGCTGCTGCAAACCTTCAGCTGTCCAGGAAAGACCACTGCATTTGAAGGAAAGGAGGGAATTCACTGGGCAAGCCTTTCTGGAAGAAGCCACCATTTGAGCTAGGTTGATAAGATGGCCAGGTTTTTCCCAGGTGAAAAATGAGGTGGGTTCTCAAATCGCAGGACCTGCATTATCAAAAACGTGGCAGCAGGAAAGTTGAGGTCTCGTTTAGGGAACTGCCAGCCATCTCCTGGAAGCTCCAGAAGCAGTGATGAGGCCAGGCTGAGAGCAGGAGTCTTGGGTGTAGGGTCAGAGGCACAGCGTTGAGCCTGCGAGTGAGAGACAGTGGACAAAGGTGATGCCCACCTGTAGATGCGATATGCAGGGTTCAGGAGGACTAGGCCAGCTTTGGCCCATCTGTTGGCCTCTGGCCACAGCCTCATTAATGTGTGTCAGTGGCTCTTTAAATCTTAAAGGGAAGGTGCCAACCTATGCCCCTCTGGGCCCAAGTTCCAGCATCTGGTCTTTCCAAGTCAGGCCCTCCCCTATCTTATCTCACAGGAGATATCTGACCCATGGGGCAGGAGGGGACTCCTCATTGGCCACCCCCATCCATCATGCCCATTGTGTGTACTGGGAGGTGGTCGGGCTTGGCCCTGCCCTTGGGAGCTCCCAGAGTCCTGGGCTTCCTGGAGGAGGGACCAGGCATGAGAATATTGAAAGAGGAATTTAAGACCAGGCACAGTAGCTCACGCCTGTAATCCCAGCACTTTGGGAGGTTGAGGCGGGTGGATCACCTGAAGTCAAGACCAGCTTGACCAACATGGAGAAACCCCGTCTCTACTAAAAATACAAAATTAGCCGGGCGTGGTGGCACATGCCTGTAATCCTCAGCTACTCGGGAGGCTGAGGCAGGAGAATCGCTTGAACCTGGGAGGCAGAGGTGGCATTGAGCCGAGACCGTGCCATTGCATTCTAGCCTGGGCGACAGAATGAGACTCTGTCTCAAAAAACAAAAAACACACACACAAAAGGGGAATTTGAGTTAGACATGCGGAAACACTGGAATTCCCACGAGGTCTGGCATGAGGAGTCTCCACTGCCGCCGAGGCTGGATTTCTCCACTCTGCTGCCTCTGCCTGCCCCATCAGCTCAGTACTCTCTATGTGCCTGGCCTGCCCATGGGCTCTTTACAGTGTGTATGAAAGCCTTTTGCAAGGTGGCATTGAGGCCCCCTGAAGGTTGCTGTCAAAAAAGGGGAACTTTGTGTTCCTTAGATTCCTCTCTCGAAGCCCTGTCACACAGGACCAGGCTTTCCCCCATTTCACATACCAGGACACAAATGAAGGCTCCATAGGTGTGATGGGCCTGAGGCACACAGCAAGTTGGTGGCCAAGTTTGGGAACAAACTTTTGTGTTAGACAACCCTGGGCCCTAGACCAGACCCCTTAGGAGCATCATCTCTGCCCCTCAGTTTCCTCATCTGTGAAGTGGGAGGGTCATGTCCCTGCCTCACAGGGATGTTGGGAGGATTCAGTGAGTGAATGTGCATGGAGTGCCTAGTACAGAAGCACTTGGTAGATATTTGCTGTTATTAGTCAGTGTGGCCTGAGTGTATTTTCTGGGCCTGGCCCTGATAAGGGGGAGAGAAACCAGCAGCTGTGATGGGGAGGCCATGGGAGGAGCATCCGCCCAGGCTGGGGATCAGAGGAGGTTTGGGGGTATGACAGTCAGGGAGGGAGGCGGGAAGAGTGTGGGGGCCCCGGTAGGGGGACCTCTGGAGGAGGCAGGGCTGGGCGGGGTCTTGGAGGTCGTGTTGGTATTGGATAGCCCAAGATGGAGGCTGAGTCTAGGCTGAGAAAGCTATTTTGGGAACTGAAAGTCGGTCACTGTGGCCAGAGGGCGGTGTCTAGGCGTGGCTCAGGGTGGTAGGAGCTTTGAGGCTGGAGCCATCAACAGGCTTTGATGTGAGGGGGTGGCGGGGCTGAGGAGAGGTGTGAAAAAGGCCACCCGGTTTCAGCTTGAGTCAGCAGGCAGGCCATGCTGGTGGCTGGTGGGGAAACCACCACTGGCCCAGATACCAGGGAGGATGGCCCCTGAGCCAGGGATGTCCAGGGCTGCCTCTCAGAGAGGTACAGGTGGGGGTGGACCCAGGCGGCTCAGCTGCTGTCCCTGCCTTGTGACCCAGACACAGGTCAGATGACTCAGACATGGCCATGGGGAAGGGGAGGGCAGGGCAGGAGCAGTTAAGAGGCCAGGCCATCAGCTGAGCTGAAAGTTGGGGACATCCTGGACTGACAGTACCAGCAAGTCACTAGAGGTGGGCAGGCACATGGGGTCAGCCCTGCCCTTCCAGGCTAAAATTCAGAGATCCAGCCAGCCTGGCTTATATGAGCGTGCAGCAGCTGCTCCTCAGTGTGGGAACTGAAAATGCAGCAGGGTACCCCCTTTTGGCCTGGAGGTGGAGATGCTGGCTCAAGAGGGTCCAGGTCTGGGGAGCCCTGAGGAGGGAAGGGGAGGGAGTCTGGGTGCGGCCTCTGCAGGAGGCAAGCTGGGCTGGGTCACACGGATGGGGCCATATCAGGTCAGTGCAGTGTCTGCCCTGGCCAGAATGGAGAAGCCAGTACTAGGTGACAGAAGTCAGAGGTGGCCTGAGGGAGCTCAGTAGAGGAGGAGCTGAGGCTGGGAGCAGGGGCTTATGCCTATAATCCCAGCACTTTGGGAGGCCAAGGCGGGTGGATCACCTAAGGTCAGGAGTTCGAGACCAGCCTGGCCAACATGGTGAAACCCTGTCTGTACTAAAAATACAAAAATTAGCTGGGCGTGGTGGTTGGTGCCTGTAATCCCAGCTACTTAGGAGGGTGAGGCAGGAGAATCCCCTAAACCTGGGAGGTGGAGGTTTCAGTGAACCATGATCACGCCACTGCACTCCAGCCAGGGCGAAAGAGCGAGACTCCGTCTCAAAAAAAGATGGGGAGGAGATGCCTGGGCTGGGCCCTTCACAGGCTCTCACCCTTCAAGGCCAGAGTTCAGCCCAGCCCCAGAAGGGGAACTGGGAAGCTTGGAGCCTGGGAGTGGATGGGCCCAGGCCCATAGGGCCAGGAAGGATGAAGGCCGTGACCTTTGCCTGAGGAGGCATTTTCCCTGGAAGGAGGTGGGACCGGGGGTTCTGTCCATGCAGGACTAGAGGAGGGCAGGGGTGGGCAGGGGTTGTGGTCAGGGACCCCTCCTCCCCTCTGTGTGAGTGGCCCTGGCTGGCCCCAGGCCCAGGCTGGCGGGAAACCCCTCCCAGTCCTCACTGGCTCCTTGTTCCACAGGAAGGCCAGGCCCCTGACCCCAGCCCTGCCCTGGGCCCACCCGCAGCTGCAGCCTCTCAACAGCCCCCTGGTGAGTGGCAGGAGTGGTGACCATCTCAGTTCAGGCCGCTCGAAAAGCCTGGAGTGGGGACTTCCTGGGGGTGGCTGGGTGGTGGTTAGGGGGTGCCTTATCATCATCTCTGTCTGCAGGTAGGAGTCCCCCCTTGGAGGAGCCACCCCCAAGCCCAGGGGAGGAGGCTGGGCTGGTAAGGAGAGCTAAGTGGGAGGAGCTAATGGGTGGGCACCTCCTAGGCAGGGCCTGGGCTGAGTCCACCCCTGTTCTCTGCCCCTTTTCCAACCCCAGCAGCGGTTCCAGGACACAAGTCAGTATGTATGTGCAGAGCTGCAGGCCCTGGAGCGGGAGCAGAGGCAGATAGATGGGCGGGCCGCTGAGGTGGAGACGCAGCTGAGGAGCCTCATGGAGTCAGGTGGGGCATGCATCTGGGGGTCCCCTCCCCAACACATGCCACTAGGTCTGCCCAGCCCTGCAGCTGTTCCTGACCTTGGGAGGAGCTGGGAGGAGGCACAGCTGGCGTCAGCATTCCCATTTTACGGCCAGGCATGCTAAGGCCTAGAAGTGGCTTCCTGGAGGCATACAGTTCTTCTGGGATGTCACGAAAGCAAACCCCCTCCCCCAACCCCCAGCTGCCCTGCTCTGACACTGGGGGCAGGGGGCAGGCCTGGTGACTGTCCCTGCCCAATTCAGGTGCCAACAAGCTGCAGGAGGAGGTGCTGATCCAGGAGTGGTTCACCCTGGTCAACAAGAAGAACGCTCTTATCCGGAGGCAGGACCAGCTGCAGCTGCTGTGAGTGCTGGCCCAGGGCTAGGAGAGCAGAGGGACTCTCAGCTGTTTTGGTTAGGGCTGTTCACTGCTTTCTTCTTTCTACAGAGATCTTATTGTTTTTATCCTATCCAATTTGCTGTTTAAAGTATAAAACTGGCCAGGTGCGGTGGCTCACACCAGATTCAAGCACTTTGGAGGCCAAGGCGGGTGGATCACCTGAGGTCGGGAGTTCAAGACCAGCCTGACCAACATGGTGAAACCCCGTCTTTAAAAAAATAAATAAATAGCCGGGCGCGGTGGCTCAAGCCTGTAATCCCAGCACTTTGGGAGGCTGAGGCGGGTGGATCACGAGGTCAAGAGATCGAGACCATCCTGGTCAACATGGTGAAACCCCGTCTCTACTAAAAATACAAAAAATTAGCTGGGCATGGTGGCACGTGCCTGTAATCCCAGCTACTCAGGAGGCTGAGGCAGGAGAATTGCCTGAACCCGGGAGGCGGAGGTTGCGGTGAGCCGAGATCGCGCCATTGCACTCCAACCTGGGTAACAAGAGCGAAACTCCGTCTCAAAAAAAAAAAAAAAAAAATAAAATAAATAAATAAATAAATAAATAAATAAAATAAAGTATAAAACTAGGCTGGCTGTGGCGGCTCATGCCTGTAATTCCAGCACTTTCAGGCAGATCACCTGAGGTCAGGAGTTCGAGACCAGCCTAATACAATGAGACCCCGTCTCTACTAAAAATACAAAAATTAGCTGGGCGTGGTGGCACGTGCCTGTAATCCCAGCTACTTGGGAGACTGAGATAGGAGAATCGCTTGAACCTAGGAGGCGGAGGTTGCAGTGAGCCAAGATCGTGCCATTGCACTCCAGCCTGGGCAACCAGCGTGAAACTTCGTCTCAAAAAAAAAAAAAGTAAAACTGGCCAGGCACAATGGCTCACGCCTGTAATCCCAACACTTTGGGAGGTTGAGGCAAGCAGGTCACCTGAGGTTAGGAGTTCAAGACCAGCCTGGCCAACATAAACGCCCTATCTATCTGTGAAACCTTTTCTCTACTAAAAATACAAAAATTAGCCAGGTGTGGTGCCTGTAATCCCAGCAACTTGGAAGGCTGAGGCAGGAGAATCACTTGAACCCGGGAGGCGGAGGTTACAGTGAGCTGAGATCAGGCCATTGCACTCCAGCCTGGGCGACAAAGTGAGACTCTATCTAAAAATATAAAAATTAAAAAAATTAATTGTAAAACTCTTAAATTATAACTATTTTTACTAATAAGAAAACTAGGCTGGGCCCAGGAAGGTGAAGGCCGAATTCCTGTGTGACGCTGTTTCTTTTTTTTTTTTTTTTTTGACGCTGTTTCTTTACAGTAAGGAAAACAAGCCCAGAGGGGTGTGAAGCCACTCTGCGGCATTGCCTTATCATCCTGCCAGGCGAAGGTGGCTTTGGCTCCCTTTTCAGTTTGTGATCCTTTTTCAGAATAACTGGAGCCTAATACTTCCTATTTATGAATACTGTTCATCCAAATAATCCCTCGGGGGTCCTTCTGGGGTGCGTGTGGGGCAACATAAACACCAGCAATTGGAGAAAACAGTTCGAAGAGAAGAGAGAATGTGGTCTGGGGACTGGAGGATAGCTCTGTGGTCAGTCCTGCCCTCTATGGGCACTGCTGGGGAGGTGGGATGGGGCCAGAGCCCTGGGCACTCCCTCCCTGCGCCCCTTTTCCTGACCTGCTTACCCGCCACCTTCCAGCATCGAGGAGCAGGACTTGGAGCGCAGGTTCGAGCTGCTGAGCCGCGAGCTGCGGGCCATGCTGGCCATCGAAGGTGGGACCTGGGCCCAGGGGGCGGGAGGCAGGACATAGCCAGGGTAGAGGCGGCACAGCGCCGGGCCCGCGCCTCCTGACGCTTTGCCGTTTCGGCCCTCAGACTGGCAGAAAACGTCTGCGCAGCAGCACCGAGAGCAGCTCCTGCTGGATGAGCTGGTGTCGCTGGTGAACCAGCGCGACGAGCTGGTCCGGGACCTGGACCACAAGGAGCGGATGTGAGTGGCGCTGGGAGCTGGGAGGGTCCAGGGCGCGCTCCCGCACAGGGCTGGATGTGGACCCCGCCCAACGCCGCGCTGACTCGAACCCGTTCCCCGTAGCGCCTTGGAGGAGGACGAGCGCCTGGAGCGCGGCCTGGAGCAGCGGCGCCGCAAGCTGAGCCGGCAGCTGAGCCGGCGGGAACGCTGCGTGCTGAGCTGAGGCCGCCGGCCTGGGAGGCCCGTAGCTTCTCGAGCCCCCGGCGCCCGCCGCCGCCCCGGGCCTGCGCCCGGGAGGACCCGGCCGCCCCGGATGCTGTGCGTGTCCGCTAGGGGCCGCTGGCGCCCTTCCCGGGACAGGGCAGGGCGGATCGCCGGCCCGCGGCTGGGCGGCCGTCGTATTTATTTGTCGCCGAGTGTGTGTGCACGCTCGCGGCGGGTGCGGGCACCTCCCCGATGGCGCGGCTGGGCCAGCGGCCCCGGGGAGAGGGATGCCTGGGGGCTGCCGCCCTGCGCCGGCTCGCCCTCCTGTTCTCCAGAGCAGTAAAGTTGGACTAGGCTACCCCAGCGTCGGCCTTTTCTCCGCTCCACCTGGGCTCTCAAAGGGCGGAGGAGGGTGGGCCGAGGCTGAGGCGGCTCTGCCATCCTAAGCGGGACTATGCGGCTTCGGGGTTCCCAGCGCCAGCAGAGACTAAACGTCGGCCTTCCTGGGATGGTGGCCGGTGGTTCTGTCCCCTTCAAAAGACTTGACAAGAGCCGAAATCGTTGCTCATTTTATGATTAACACTTATTCCCCGAGGCCTCTGGCTCACCCCGCTGGCCCCATCTCCAGATTCTTCCCCGGCCACTCCTGGCTGCTTCCTCCTCCCGGCCGCCACCGCCACCATACTGGAGCTGAACTCGGTCACCTGACACTTCAACAAGCAGGAACCTGTCCTGAAGCTGGGGCCGCGGGCGGCAGGGTGCTCAGAGCCAGTTCATCCTGCCCTAGGATGCCACCTTGGTCTGCAGCAGTCATAGGGCCACAGGGCCTGAAGAACTTCACGGCACGGACCTGTGGCAGCCTGGAGAAAGCCTCAACGGCCAGCAGCATGGCCAAGAGTCCTAGAAGCAAGTAACCTGGGGAGGAGAAGGTGCCGGGGCAGCACCCGGGTGCTGGTGATGCTCCCCGCCCATCGCCAGGCACGGTGACCTGCCCTAGCAGCTGGTGCCACTCACACCCCCAAACACTCCCACCAGAGCTCCTCAGCTACCCCTCCCGTACGTGCCCTGGAGTGGGGTCCCACCACCTGCAAGACCCAGTCCCCCAGTGGTTCATGGGAATCCTAGTCCCTGCTCCTCTTCCCACTTCCCCCACACACTCTTAGGCGGCTGACTTACCAAGAAGTGCAAGCTGGCCCACGTGGTAAATCATGGGGTGCAGGCTGTGGCCGTGGCTGGGCAGGAGGTCCCCCAGGCCAATGGTGCTGACTGAGCTGAAGCAGAAATAGATGGCTCCCAGCAGGCTGCTGTCACCCTGAAGGCCCCACAGCACCAGCGCTGGCAGCAGCACAAAGCTGCTGGCCACCAGCAGGCCCAGGGCAACTGCCTGCAGCAGGGCAGCCCTGGCTGGCGACAGCTGCCAGTGGACCACTACCCAGGCACCTGGGCAGCTGAGCGCAGGCAGCAGGCAGTGGTGTAGGGTGGCCACTAGAGCTAGGGAGGCTGGCAGCCCCAGGGCTGCATAGACCACACAGAAGGCCCTTCCACCTGCCGATAGTGGGGCCATGTGGCCATAACCTGGAGAAGAGAGAGTCAGTGGATTGTCAGAGCTCTGAGTGTGATGTCTGCTGGGGTCCCTGCCTACCCCAATATCACCTTCTACAGAAGGCTGCCCTCTAGTGGCCTTGAACTGGCCAGGCCCAGGTTCTATCTGGCTCTGCTCCTCCTTCACCAGGGGATCCTGGGCCAGTCCCTTAGCCTCTCTGGGCCACTCTTCTCTTTTCTGGAAAATAAAAGGATGAGGCCAGGTGTGGTGGCTCACGCTTATAATCCCAGCACTTTGGAAGGCCAACTTTGGGAGGCCGAGGCGGAGGGATCACGAGGTCAGGAGTTTGAGATCAGCCTGGCCAACATAGTGAAACCCTATCTCTACTAAAAATACAAAAAAAACCCAAAAAAACTAACCAGTGTGGTGGCACGCTCTTGTAGTCCCAGATAGGAGGCTGAGGCGGGAGAATTGCTTGAACCTGGGACTCGGAGGTTGCAGGGAGCTGAGACCAGGCCATTACACTCCAGCTTGGGCGACAGCGCAAGACTCCATCACCAAAAAAAAAAAAAAAAAAAAAAAGTCTTAGTTTGTATGAACAATTTTGGAGGATTAAAAAAAGAAAAAAGATGAAAGAAGACAGTTCCCCAGGCCTTTTGTAGCTGGGACAATTCGGAGAACTGGGCTGCCCTTAACAGATATTCTTGATTCCACAGCTGGTGGAGTATCATCCACTCTTTCCCCAAATGTGTGTCACATCCTGTGTGCTAGGCTTTGTGCTGGGATCTGAGTCTGCCCAGGCCTTGCCCTCCAGTGGACAAGTCAGGCAGGAAAATAATGAAGGGCTACAAAGAGGCAGCATGGGGAGAGAGGGCATGTGCCAGGTGGAGAGGGGCGGGAGTGCGGGGCATTCGGGGAGAACAGGATCAGCTAGTCCAGAGCTGCAAATGCGCAGGCCCACCAGAGCCAGATGGGAGACAAACAGGAATGGTGGGGACTGAGGTGCACTGAAGAGTGTGAGCTGTACCCAAAGGGCAGGCCCCATTCTGCTCCGGTCACTATGTTACCTTGCAGGGATTCTGGCTCAGTGTGAGTAGGTTTCCTGATTTTCTGAAAGAAGTTGGAAATATGGGCTGGGCATAGTGGCTCACACCTGTAACCCCGGCACTTTGGGAGGGGGAGGTGGACAGATCACTTGAGGTCAGGAGTTTGAGACCAGCGGGGCCAACGTGGCAAAACCCGTCTCTACTAAAAATACAAAAATTAGCTGAGCGTGGTGGTGCGCGCCTGTAGTCCCAGCACTCTGGAGGCTGAGGTAGGAGAATTGCTAGAACCCAGGAGGCGGAAGTTGCAGTGAGTCGAGATTGCACCACTGCACTCCAGCCTGGGTGACAGCGAGATTCCCATCTCAAAAAAAAAAGTTGGGAATACAAATATAGAAATTCCAATTCAAAAAATACTGAAATGCTTTGTGGAATAAAAAATACAAAAACCCAGGGCTGTGGGCCCTGCTGTGTTTTTCCCCGGGCCTGTGCCCTCACTGTTTCTCTGCAGGACTCCCTTGTCCCCGTCTCTGCATCCTCCTGCTTGGCAACCACGCCATGCCGACTTCCTCCCCGTCTTCCCTCACTCCTCCTCCACCCAAGGCCTTGGGCCTGATATGTGCTTCCCAGGTTCCTTCTGTTTGCTTCCCTTCAAGAATCCATCCCACTGTATTGTGTCCCCTGCCTTGCCTCAGGCTGTGGTGTCTGGGCACCTCTCCTGGGTCTCAGAGGGTGCCTGGGGTGGGGCTGGGGAGGCCACACCCTTCCTGGCAGCTGAAGTGGAGGTACCTGTTGGGGTGTGTTGGTGGGGAACCCCAGTGGTGATGTCGGGCCTGACAGGGCCTGGGCTCCATCTGGCTCTTTGGGGCTGAAGGGCTGCACCCCAGGGTCCCCAGGGAGCCATGGCTTCAAGAGCCCCTCCCCCTGGGCTTCTTGGCTTTCTTACCTGTGGTGGAGAGGATGCTGGCAGTGAAGAGCAGGGCTGAGGGCAGGTCCCAGTTGCTGGCCTCTGAGCTGTTGCCCAGGCTGGAGACCCCATGGGCCTGTGTGGCCAGGGCAGTGCCCAGCAGCTCTTCCAGTGCTCCGGGTGGCAGGCAGGCTCCATGCTTGGCCTGGAAAGCAGCCAGCTCTGCCCTGAGCTCAGCCTGGAGCCTACGTGCTGAAGGCCCCTCCAGGGCCTGGAACACCGTGGCCCCAAGCCCTAGGGCCAGCAAGTGGCCCACAACCAGGAGCCCATATCGGGCCCAAGGCCTTAGACCCCCCATGGCGGGCTGCTGGGGTGCTGTGGGAGCTGGCGCCTCCACCTCAGGCACCTGGGAGGGGCTGGGCAGGGCAGGGCCAGGAGGAGTTGCTGTGTGGGTGGCTGGGACCTGGTTGGGGTGGCTGGGGTGTGAATGGGAGGGAGGTGAGCTGCATCACCCCTCCCAGGTTCTGGGGGCAAGACATTTGCCCATTTCACAGCAGCTGGGATGGTGGGGACGGGCGGAGGAAGGTGGCTGCAGTGAGGGGAGGAGGCGGAGGACTCTGAGGCCTAGAAAGTGCCTCACACTTATTCAAGGTGGTGCCCAGACATCCATACCGCATTCACTCATTCAGGCAAGTGCTTAGGTCCTAGGACTCCAGGGAAGAGGACAGGCACAGGTCCTTTCCCTCCCAGTGTTTACACAGGAAACCTCTCAGCAAAGAAACGTGACAAGCTCATATTGTCATGAGTCCCATGCAGGAACGCCCTGGGTAATGGGAGAGCTCTGGGGGAGGGGGTTATCTCACTGGGAAGGCTCTGCTGAGGAGGTGACATTTCAGCTGGGGAGTAAGAGGCCAGTGAAGGTAGGAAGGAGCTTGGGGTGTGAGAGGGACAGAGGGCTGGCTATGGCAGGGGACAGTGCAGGGTGAAGGGGGGATAAGGACATGGGCCCTTGAGGACAAGCATAGGCCAGAGAGACCTACACCGGCCACTACAGGCGTCCTGGATGGAGCCATTTTGGCCTGGGCGGTGGGGTGGTAGGGGAATGGTGGCAGCTGGGAAGGATTGGGTGGGGGCAGGGGTGGGAGGCAGGGAGAGGAATCCAGGGTGCCCAGAGCACTGCGGCAGGTAATACCCGTGAGCTCCACTGCCAGTCCTTCCCAAGAATCCTTTATGCCTGCCCTCCTCACATTACCTGCCCCTGAACTGCAGACAGAGTTCTGGGGCAGGGGAACGGGGAACCTGGGTTCTAACTCCTCTAAACTCAGAGGGGCTGAGGACCCTGCCCTAGGGTATGGTATGGGAGTGCCAGAGCCCCCATGGCAGTGTGAAGAGAACTGTCAGGGTGCTAGGTGCTATGGTGAGTCACTATGCTGGGAGGTGGGTGGACCTTAATACTTTTTTCTTCTGAGACGATGTCTTGCTCTGTTGCTCAGGCTGGAGTGCAGTGGCGTTAATTTTGGCTCACTGCAACCTCTGCCTTCTAGGTTCAAGCAATTCTCCTGCCTCAAACTCCAGAGTAGCTGGGACTTCAGGCATGCACCACCATGCCTGGCTAATTTTTGTATTTTTAGTAGAGACCATGTTGCTCAGGTTGGTCTCGAACTCCTGACCTCAGGTGATCCATCAGCCTCGGCCTCCTAGTGTTGGGATTACAGGCGTGAGCCACATCTGGCCAAGAAGAGCCTTGAATGACTGACCAAGACTGGTGGATTTGGTCCCAGGAGAGGGATGCAGTGCAACGCATGCAACTGCCCATTGTTGGGGCATCAGGAGTCCAGGCTTGCGTGATAGGTTGGATCTCCTGC